TTGCCATTGAATGTGTGCACTTTCGCTAGTTTCTTAACAAAACTGGCGGCTCAGAGGATAAACTAAAACTGATCGACCTTTGTACGCTTATACGCGATCAAAATTTGTTATCAGTATTCCCTAACATCGGTATAGCTTTGAGAATATCTTTGTGTATGGCTGCTACAAATTGCTCAGCAGAACGAATAAAAACGTACTTGTGATCATCGTTGGAGGAAGAACGTTTAAATTCATTGGCAATATTGGTCATTGAAGCCGAGCTTATGATGAGTCTAAAATACGACATTATTGATGATTTTGCAAGCCTAAAATCTCGCCGTAAACCACTTGATTAAGGTAAATGTCCCAATTATTGACAGTGTCCCAATTTATGACAATTGCACTCATTTTTTTTAATAAATCAACTAATACGAATCCAATATTTATTCTAAATATGTATTCAGACTCTAAATTTTATTTATATTCGGTTATAATACATTTGGAATAAAATTAAAAGCCGTAATGAATGTTAAAACATCATAATTACAAGCGTATACTGACGGCGACAGTTTGAACGCAGTTGCTCTTCGTCATCTTAGAAACTGACAGTTGATTCGAGATGTTTGCTGGGTCTATGCAGTTATGCTTTAAATAACTTGAAGTAAGTGAATTTTAAGTGTTTTGTCAAGTCGAAAGAAAGTTAAGAATATTTCTAAGCAGAAAAATATCAAAGTTTGTAATTTTCGTAGTTAATTCATATATGTCACTAATCGGTATTAGAATATCTATTTGTCCCTATTACTGTCAACTCCGAAATACATACATATAAAATAATATAAACGTATTTATTTCTAAAAAGAATATGTAGTTTATAAATCTTATTTATTATAAAGTTAAAAAATAGCATCAATATCATAACTTACCTATGTGCAATTTAATAAATAGTATAAATGTAAGTTCTTAACCTAACCTATAAGTTATCGTGTTTAAGTCAGTGTGGCGGTCCACGCCACCAACGATACATCCCTGCGCGATGCCTGCAATACCGGCAGTTCGCAGCAACGCCGCCAGGTGTCGCATCGCCGGGGCAGCTTCGCGAGTTCAAAGTTTTGCACCGACGAGTATAAAGGGAGACCCCCTACGGGCTCGAGCAATTCTTCCCGGCGCAAGTCGCCGATGGCATAGAGCGCCCAGACGCTGCAGCCTACCCAAGCGCTAGCCGCTCTCCCGGCGTAAGACGCCTGCTCACGGCGCCAGTCGCTTATACAGCGCGAGTCGCTTCCTCGGCGCTGGTCGCCTACACAGCGCTAGTCGCTCTCTCGGCGCCGGTCGCCGGTACAGCACGAGTCGTTTCCTCGGCGCCGGTCGCCTACAGCGCGAGTCGCTTCCTCGGCGCGAGTCGCCTACGAGGCGCGAATCGCCCGGCCAACCACGGCGCTCGGTCGCCCATCACGGCGCGAGTTGCCGACAGCGCCAGACGCTTCCTCGGTGCGCGGTCAACTACCACGGCGCTAGTCGCCTACAAGGCGCAAGTCGCCCAGCCAATCGCGGCGCGCGGACGCCTGACACGAGGCGCGAGACGCCAGCCAATAACAGCACGTCGTCTCTACATCTCGCGCATACCACTTGGCGATACCGCGTCCACAACACAACGCCCCGGTCCGTCACGCGATACAGATTTGCATCCTGGAACCTAGTACGCCCAACAGTAAAGAGACGGAAGGCAAGACGCCGCGTTTGTTCGAGGAGCAATTCAAGAAGAAGGACGATGATCCTACTCGGCGACGGCGGACCCTGCCGATGCCTTTACAGGCCATCCCTTACCGGAAAAGGAACGTGTCGCTATCTTCATACTCGTCCAGAGTGACAAGCGTGCCTAGCACGACCGCGGCCGCAGACGCCGCTAAACTCGCCGAACCCCCGAAACGCGTAAAGGTCAACCCGGACAAGAGCCTGGGTCCCGGAAAAAAGAGGCAGACGCGCGACGCCTCTACGATCACCGACGCAGAGCCGACGATAAAGGACGATCCAGCTTCGGTCACCGTCGGAACTCAGACGGACCCAGAGGCCACGAAGGCCGACGCCTCAACACAAACGAAGCAACGGGGGGGACAACAAGTCAAGGCGAGGCATCTCGATAGCAATCGTAATGTAAATAAGGTGTAAATATATTGTATAAACATATATTCTGTGTCTCCTACATTTCTATTCCCTCCTTTGCGATTCACCTAACCTGGGCGATTCCTACGCACGCACCCAGTAGCTGACTAAGTTAGAATAAGCATAGCTGACTAAGATAGATTACCGCTCTGGAGGAAAGTAGCAAGCGCCCATAGTCAGTAATAGGGACACTCATATAATTCTGTACCAATTTGTGATATCCGAGTAACTATTACTATTCCGAAGAGAAAACTGTCACGGGAGGAGAAGGCTCCTTAACCTCTACAGAACCGGCCCCTTTTTTGGACAACTTTTTTAGTTTTAGTGCTAGAACATTTTTGTCCTTGTCAGTGGGTTGAACTACGAAAAAGACGGCGCTACTCCAGCGCCTAATATTAGGCTTTCGGTCTCGGAGAGGTTGTGACTCCCGCAAAAGTATGACTACCTGGCGATGTCGGCGATAAATAAATTGTGTTAAATATAAAACGGTATTATTAAATGTGTTTAATGTTTCTTATAAAAACAGCAATATTAGTAATATATAATCAATAATAAGAATGTTAATATGTACCTTTTGTCAGTAATAGGGACATTCGTATATTTACCTCCTGTCAGTAATAGGGACGTTTATATGTTCGTCGACTGTCAGTAATAGAGGCATGCATATGTTACAAATTGGGACAAAACCAAACTGACATGTCACTAAATAGTACTTCAGCCACTTTTGAGAAAATATTATAAACAAATTAAAATCTGTCCATAAATAAAAAAAAAAAGATAACACAATTAAAATCTTAAATGTTCAAGCTGTCTAACAAAATCAATTTTGTATACTTTTTTTAACATGTATATTATTAATTTATCAATTTATTATTACGATAAGGTTACTAGGTCACTAATTGGGACATTTACCTTATTAGGTAAATGTTAACATTGTTTATTACAAAACTTTCTAAAGCTGTGTTTACTTGTTTTTCATTATTTATAAAATATGTAACAGACTTCTACCACTTTCACGTGCTCACCAAATTTGTGAAATTTGGAAAGAAAAATTGCAATCTCGCCCAAAAATTTGCCGCTTTCAAAAATCTGCCGCCCTACGCTTGAGCGTAGTTAGCGTATAGAGTAAATCCGTCAACCACGGACTACTCGGCATACACAGACCGAAGAGCCTGAACCACAGTATATACAGTAGCGCAACTCTCTGTCGGCACTTTTGATGTTAGCGTGGATGAAAATGAACTGCACATGCGCGTGCGAGGTATGTAACCAATCAGAGCACCGATAATCTGTCTCACTTCCTCTCCCTGTTATAAGTCTCTCTCTCTTTCTAATTTATCGTTGCGTGTTAGACGCGCGCGTTTTGATTGGGATAATGTATGGAGACGCATATTTGACGTGCGTTATAACGCGCAGAAATGCATGCATAAACAACAAGGGTTACATTTGAGATAGAAATAAAACATGATGTGCAACCAGACGCGTGCTATATATTTATTTATTGGCACTATATATTTTTTAATTATATATATATAGGTATATACAAAATACAGATAAATTTTAATAATTTGTATAGCAATTGTACAAATGTGCCATATTACTTCTTCCCCACACAGCACATAATATTGCAGAAATATTGCAGAAATATTGCAGTAATATTGCAATATAGTGGAAATATTACGTATTACAATGAAATATTTCAGAAATATTACTGATGTATTACACGTTTTTAAATAATATTGAAATATTACAGTAATATTGCTGCAATATATTGTTGAAATATAATACTTTAAGTAGCAAAATAATGTCAAATGACATTTTAATGACATCTTATTGACGTCATTAAGACGTTATTAAGGTATCACACAATCATACGTATTGCACAGATAATATATACCAGTTAAAGAATTTTGGACTGAAAAAAAGAAAAATCTAAATAAAAAAATGTGATGAAATCAAAAGAGACTGACTTGTACTTTTGGGGAATAAAAGTGATTAAGATAAATTTTATAAGTGGTGGTATTTAATTTTATAACTTGTTATTTGTTTTGTAATAATAAAAGGTAATCATATATACAATTAATTTTTAATTAAGAGCCAGTAAGTAAATTGATAATAAAATAAATGGATAAAATTTAAAATTTATATTTCTTATATAATCAATATTAAACTTTTCAAATTACGAGTTTGTCACACGGATAAACAGGACGTTTCTGAGTGCGTAAGTGGAGGGAAGAACGCTAGTGTGTGTGGCTATGCGCTTGGTCGCAGCACCGACCCCCACCATTCCCGGTCTTCTCTCGTTGTCTCTTGCATGGCTCCGTGGGACCACGCAATCACGTGTACGACACCGCACAGAAACAATCGTGTTAATTTCAGGTAATTTTTCTTTATTTAATAAATATTGTTCACACAAATATTTTTAAAAGTATTTTTGTATAATTATTACTAATATGTACATTGTACATATATATTTGGCGATTTGTCTTTAAATTCAAAAATAGAGATTGCGTGGCATAATGGTCTGCAAAAACCACGTTAATATCATAAAAATCATTTCAATGACCATCTTAAAATACATATATATTTGCCTTTATAACCTTATTGAGCGAGTCTCTAATGAAATTATTTATTAACGGCTTCATACTTAAATCTTGATGCTAACTTAACCTCAAAATTTTTAACAGTTTAATCCAACTGGAGCCCTTAGTTGGAGATACGTGATAGAAATATGCCGATCCCAAATCTCCTAAAAAGCAGTTTAATCATTAATTAAATGATTTAACCATAATTATTTAACCATTTACATGATTTTATAATAATTATTGTTCTTATGCTATGTTACAGTATTGCTTTCCATCAGTGGATGTTTATGCAGTCCAGAGCAGCACCAAGTAGTTTGATAGAAGAGCAACAGATTTATTTATTAGATATGTAAGTAAGAAAAAGTTAAATTTGATATAAACCATACTTTCCAATATTAATCGTCAATACTGAAAATCCAAAGTATACGTGTAACATCAACTACAGATTTTCAGTATACATAGATAGTGAATATCACAATACAGATTTATACTTAACCTACTTTTATGTTTAAAATATATAATTAGATGTAAATAATAATTACTGTTTTTGTATTATGTTGCAGTGTTACGTTGCTTTCCATCAGTGGAAGTTCACGCAGAGCAGCACCAAGCAGTTTGATTTCTATCAAACTCTTCTGAGCGACAGCTTCATTTATTAGATACACAAGTAAGAAAAATTTAAACTTGGTATAAACTGCGTTCCAATATTTTAATATCCAGTACTGAAAATCTAAAGTGTATGTATAACATTAACCATAGATTTTCAGTATAGACAGTGAATATCGGAACACGTCATACTTAACCCCGTATTCTTATGTTTTAATATGTAATTATGTATGAAATAAATAGGGTGTTTTTATTTCGTGTGCCAATCATCTACGCTATAATTATCTCAGAAAGTATTGATTTATTGGAAAAATGTTTCAGATAAAAGTTGGAGAGTTCAAGGAGGACCAATAGACAATTTTATTAGATTTTGAGTTTGGGACCTGTGTTAAGCCTAATAGAATCCAAGTCAAATTATTTAAATAGAAACCCCCTTTTTATGGTATCATCTTTTTCTACTAATTAATACGAACAACTTTTGTCTGAAACATTTTTTTGTTTGCCTTATACTTTTTGAGATATTCAAGGAAAACTTGGTATTTTTTTCAATATTTAGCTTATAATAGATGTTTGTTAATAAATGTTCGTCGGAGTGAAAAGTGGTACAGGACTTTTTGACTTGATTTGGTTTCAAGAATATACTGTTGCAATAGTATTCTAATTTCTTTAAATAATTGTGTACATATGAAAGCTTCAAGAAAATGTATACACAAATATTTAAAGAAATTAAGGTATTATTGCAATAGCATATTTTTGAGACCATATCAAGTCAAAAAGTCTTGTATCATTTTCTCCTCTGACAAGCATTTATCAAGATATAAGCTAAATATTAAAAAAATTATCAAATTTTTCTTGAATATCTCAAAAAGTATAAGGCAAATAAAAATGTTTCAGACAAAAGTTGTTTATATTAATTAGTAGAAAAAGATAATGTAATAAAAAAGGGAGTTATTATTTAAAAAATTGACTTGGACCCTACTGGGCTCAACATGGGTTCCAGACTCAAAATCTAATAAGATCATCCATTATTCCTCTATAAACCCTCCAACTTTTATCTGAAACATTTTTCCAATAAACCAATACTTTCTGAGATAATTAGTAAAGATAATTGGCATACAAAATAAAACTTTCCTTGTATAATTAGATATAAATAATAATTACAGTTTTTGTATTATGTTATAGTGTTACGTCATTCTTTATCAGTGGAAATTCATACAGTGCAGAGTAGCATGGAGCAGTTTTGAAGAAGAAAGAGATAGAAAAATAATATCAATATTATTTTCTTAATATTGTATGTCATACTATTATTAAAAATAACAATTTGATAAAATTTAATAATATTCATTAAAATGTTTTAATTTTTAGCAATATTAAATGAATATTATCTAATATTACACAAATAATATTATTGCGTTTACAATATCAATATTATTTTAAAATTGTATGTAACAATACTATTAAAAATAATTTAACAAAATTTAATAAAAATTATTAAAATGGTTTTTTAATTCCTGGCAATATTATACAAATATCACGCAAATATTATAGTAATTTTACCGTAATATTACTGATATATTGCAGTAATATTACCGCAATATTACTGAAATAAATATCAGTAATATTACTGATATTCATTTTCGTGGACATTTTAATATTACTGAGATATCTCAGTAATATTACTGCAATATTTCTGATACATTTTATTGTGATATTGCAATCAAAAAATAATATTGCTGCAATATTTCTGCAATATTATGTGCTGTGTGGGTCGTGTTATACACGAGTTGTATAACACAAATCAATAAATTATTTATGCTATCAATATTTAAACGGTCACAAAAGGAAATATCAAGAAAAGATTAAAAAAATTATATAATACAACTTGTAACTTAATTTTATCTAATTCTTTTTATTCACAATGACAACTATGTATATGTATATATGGGTATATGTATATATATGTGACAAATGTATAAACTGTCAAGTTACAGGATTTCTGCAATGATAATTGCAATAACAAAGTAAACAAAATGAAAGAACTAATAAAAGTTAAATCTGTTACATGCCTTTTTAAAAAACGGATAAAAAGTATGTAAATAAGTTGATGACTCGTGTTGGCAATATTTTGTGAAAAAAAAGAAAAAAAATATAAAAATTATGAAATAATAAAAAATAAACAAAACATACAAAGACTTAATTATATAAATAATACAATAATATATATGTAAATATCATGCAAATTAAAGAATAGTAAAACAAAATAAAAAATAATAAAAAATGCATAAGATGTAAAAAAAATGTTAAATATAGTTTAAGTAAAAGATAGTGTGTATAGAAATGCAAATAGTATATTGAGGTCATATTTTTCTGGAAAAATTTTTGTCTAGTGTACAATTTCACAAAATCTATAAAACAAGTACAATATGCAAATAGTGAAAAAAAGTAGCTAAAAGAGAATCATAGATAGCTTACACCAACCAAACACATATAAATCTTCTTCTTCCTTTATAATGGCACCTAGCCTCATCGGGACTAATGCGGCTAGATAGAAAACACATATTAATATATTAATGTAAGTTAACAAAGTCAGTTCCAAGCATAAACATATAAAATAGAAATTTTATTGACAAATATTAATACATGAAAATAAAAGAATGTCATACTAAATAAAGTTAAAAGTATACAATAATAAAAATATGCAATTTGTGTAAAACAAAATGTCTTGACTCCTAATATTCCTATACCAAAAATATATTTATTAATTTCTTGTGTCCAACTCAATCATTAGTCCGTACTTCAGTTACTCGATCCACTTCAGTACGAACCAAAGGAGTGGAAAAGAAAGTAACTTAATATATTTACAGTTAAAACTTTAATATTTAATACTTATAACACTGTATGTAACTATGAAATCTATTTATTATGAACATAGCATGCAAACAGAAAATAAAGATAAAGAAAATTATAAGTTGTTATTACCATGACCATAAACTGTTATAACATAAACACGTGAAAGTATATGCTCGCAAATACAATGTCACAATCAGTCATACACTTAAGGGGATCCTATAGCGAAGGCCGAACTTCCTCGACGTCGGTAATGTCAACATTTCTAATCCTGTTTTCTATGTTATATATCTATGTCTGTCCTTGTCTAACCAGAGGCATCTGTCTTTGTTCGATTGCTGCGCCATCTCTCGCTACACGCAATATTGCTTATCCTGTCAACCTAAATGTGCTTTTGCTTAATAAAACTTCATTTTACGGAATCTTTTTTTCTAGACGTTGAATCTTAGTTTTATTTACACGATATTGTTCCTACATGTTGTCCCTACGTCGCCTTGGTGTCATTATATATATATAAACTGCAGTAATTTTGTTATTGTCGTCAGATGACAGTTGTATGTGCCCAAATCGTGCTCGACGTTTTGTTCCCCGGAAAAAATCTCCCGGAAATCAGTTCCCGGAAAAAATCTCTCCGGAAAAAATCTCCCCATCAAAAAATCTCCCCGGAAAAAATCTCCCCCGGAAAATATCTCCCCCGGAAAATATCTCCCCCGGAAAAAATCTCCCCCGGAAAATATTTCCCCCGGAAAAAATTTCCGTGCCCAGCAAAAACCGAGGTGCCACATGGGTTTACAACTTTCTACGTGTGAAAAGCCCACGCACGTACTTTGCAAGGCACACTATGTGTATAGTTTAATGATAGTGGAGCCCCCCGCAGGGGGGCGGAACCTACTGCCTCCACGCATACACTTTTCGCGCGAGGCGAGGTGCCACATGGGTTTACAACTTTCCACGTGTGAAAATCCCACGCATATACTTTGCAAGACAACTTTTCTCAAGAAGTTTAACGCAACCAGCAAAGCGCAAATAAATTAAAAAAGTTGTCGTAACTAAAAACAAAGACAATAAATACATAACTCATGATAATTTAATACAACAAAAAATTGACAGCAACATTCCTCAGGATTTTCAACGCATCCAACAAAGCGCAATTAACGTAATACAATCGGCGTAACTAACAACAAAGATAAATAACACATAATTCATAACACATTTTTATAACGATAGATTGGCAGCGACATTCTTCAAATATTGTAACACATCCTGTCAGTTGTAGGCTGCAACGAGACTCTTCAATCGCGCATCGTTGTCTTTGTAGCGCTTGTTTCTATTATTCGCAGGAGCGTGAGCATTCGCGCGCGCAATGTGAGCGTCGACGAGACCCTGCTCTGCTTGAAGCAACTCAATCATTTTCCACAGTACGAGATGCGAACCATTTGCTCTCCGATTTAGTGCTTGGTGCCATCCTTCCACTGCATTGTTGGTACGAGCAACAGCCACCATCACTGAGGAGTAGTGGTTCCACAAAGAAATGTCAAACATTGCGCCGCGTCGTACTTTACGACGACCTAACACGCCAACCCAAGTGTGCTCAAAATAATCGAGAAAACCTCTCAAATCTTTCTCATTATCCGTGAAAAATTTCGACTGCAGCAAAGCATCGTACGCGTAAGTGACATCGCAGGAAGGAACGAATGCCAATGCGAATAACATTCGCAAATTACGAGCTACGCGGCTGCTCTCGCGGTACAATGGCGCAAGGTCGTGATCTTGTATACTACGCCAAAGTGCTTGACCGAAATGGAATAAACACCCTTTGATTTCACACTCGGGAAATTCTAGTGTAACGGCTTTTAAAAATGCCATCTCAAAATCCGACATTACATTTTTTGGGGCCACCCCGGGAATAGCATTTTTTAGAACCCGCAACAGAGTTTGATATGTTCTCTTGCGTCGATTAGGGCATAACGCATATACAAGAGGCACAATTTTGCCATTCACCTCCCCATGCACGGTGTACAGTTGGTCGAATATTTCAGGCACTACTTTAAAAGTACCATCACAATACCATATGTCACATCCTCGCAACACCTGCAGATTATCCTCCGTAGCAAATATAAGCAGTCTGTTGTTAATATCCTCAGAGTCGAATAACAAGAATTTCACGCTCTTCAATGTCTTTTGAAAGTGTTCTGGTATTTCATACAATGTGTTCTTCCTGGGATTAGGCGGTAAAGGATTGTTTCTTTGACGGATTCCTCGGACAGTCCGACTCAATGACTCAGCACTCGGTAATTGTGCAGCAACAGGAGACGACACCGTACCCAGCACGGACGCCACTAACGACGATGATGCTTCCTTGCTTGTCACCGCTTTCTTCCGTAATTTTGCAACAACGCGCTTTGTCTCAACTGCTGCAGCGTTAGGAGTGTGAGTTGTGTGCTCAGTTTGATGCAAAATGATACCTATAATAAGCAAAAAATAAAAGAGTAATGACAATTTTCCAATACTGCCATTAAGTACATTAATTTACGTACCATCGCGTAACTCCGACGACGTGTGACAAATCCCCCGACACCCGGTTTTATACTGTACATACCGCCAAATAACTTTTCCATTAGACCCCTCCCCATGCTTGTAATACAATTCACCATCAGCAACCAGCTGATTCTTTCCCTTGTTGCTTTTTACAAATTTGAGCAACATGGTGCACGATAATATCGCTACCAGTACTTACAACAGACTGATTA